AGAGAGAGAGAGAGAGAGAGAGAGAGAGAGAGAGAGAGAGAGAGAGAGAGAGAGAATCTGCACCGAGTCTGGCTCATCAATTTGGGCTATTTTTGTTTCCAAGTTCCTCTTCTTATCCGTTACACTTTCCCGGCGTATTCATACTAGAACTCTCCTGAACAAACTGGATAAACTGCTCTACACACACTTCATGCATCCGATCCGATCCGTTAGACTGTGTGGAACGTCTTATTCCGAGTATGCTATCTGTGTACTCATCTACAGGCAAACATGACACCTCCTCACCCCTTCGGTGTGTAAAATGTCATTAGTTTCACTTCCTCTGTACTCATGTACATGCATACACGACGCCTCCTCAATCGGACGTATGGGGTAATGTAACTGCTAAAGGAATCTCTCATATTACAGGAGGTAATTATGCTCAGAGTGCTATTACTATTAACGGATGGCTGAGAGACTTTTTATGGGCACAAGCCTCTCAAGTAATTCAATCTTACGGATCCCCATTATCTGCATATGGATTAATCTTTTTGGGAGCACACTTTGTATGGGCTTCTGTGTGCCATGTCATTCGTTTGGCTAAATCAATCAATACACACTATAAGACTTTGTCCTCATCTGAGTCTTATTGTAGCGCATCTACAAGAAGGAAAGCGTACCCAAGTTGCGTTAGGCACATTATAAGACTTTGTGCACGACAGCAACTGAGCAGCATACCCAATATGCACTACTATAAGACTTTGTGCAAAAAGGTTTTCCTCCACCCTTGTTGTCTTCAAGGTGGTAACTGAATTGTAGGGGCCAACTACCCAATCAGTGAAAGGCCCTAGCAGCTTGCAGGTTATGCGAACTGGATTAGGGGGCCAACTACCCAATTAGTGAAAATTTCAGCAGCTTGGAAGCGTGAGCAGAGATGGGTGCCAATCCTGGCGATTATACATCCTTAGGGGGCCAATGCCGGAGATTGTAACTCGTTGTTTGAGGTCTGATGTGGGATGAACTTTTTTCTCCTTTTCCCCCTTGCTTTTCTCAGTTTTCTGGTTATTTTTTATTGATTGCGTACTTTGTGTGTCGTTGCATTTTTTTGGTCATATGTTTGTGTGCAATGAGCAGGTAGTTTTGCTAGGTTCTCTTTGAGTACCCGTTTGAAGCTGAGCCAGGTCGAGAGAGTTCTTGTTGCTTCAACAATATACATAGGAGAGTCATTAAACACCCCCTGGAGAAAAAGCCCTCTGGTATCCTTGGAGACCCCTTGGAGACCCCTTGGAAACCTTTCTATTGAAAAAAGGCCTCTCTTGTGGACATTCCTCTGGCCTATGCAGGAGGTTTCTGCACCGTTCAGAAAGGGTGACAGCTCAGACAAGTCTGACAGCTGTTGCTCTGCCTCATGTGCAGGAAGAAGTACAGCTCAGAATAACTGTCCGGACTTGAGCTCGCGACCGGCGAAGGGGAATTGTAAATTATCGGGCTAGTTTCTGGTCGTATAGCTGTCAGGATAATGCTGGGCTAAACTGCAAGAGGGCAGTTGAGAAGGCGGCGGCTATCATTTGGTACCCAGGATCGTCATCTGGGGGAGGGTGGGTGGGGCCGTTTGCTAGTGCTTTGTGAAGCAAGAAAGAGAGGAGAGAAGGCAAACCAGCTTTAACACTGAGGTAAGACGGCAGGCGAGACGGTAGGCCGAGAGGTCTGTTGAAAAGTGGTTGAATTTATTGCTGCCATCCTTGCCGGCGAGTAGAGCGGAGGCTCAAATTTTTGACCAGCTTGTGAGCAGTAATTGGGTTTGTTATTTACTATTTGTGGCCTCCTTTACAACTTCGAGTACCATATATTTTCTAGAACAGAGTTGTGCTGCCATGTCTTAGGCTTCGGACCTTCGTCGTTCTGTGTATCAGATAGCCATGTCTCAAAATTCTTGGCGAGAGCTTGGAGGAAGTGCTAGCAGTGTGTCTTTGGGAGGCTGAGCAAGTAAGCATAGCAGTAGTTGGGTGGTTGTGTTTGACGATGCAATAATCTCCGACTGCTGGGGTATATGCCAGAGCTTCGAGGTACCGACTGTTAGCAGTGTCCAGAGGGAAAAGGAGGGTGTAATAGATAATCGGATGTTCAGCGTGGCTTGGGAGGCGGACAGAACAGCTGGCGAGTCTCTGATTGTCTGGTTCTGAGTTCTAACTAGAGATGCGAGAAGGGAAGAACTGGGATAAAAGTGTTGTTTAATGGAGAATGAAAAAAAGGGAGTGACCACGTGATGCGGAGGGGACCTAGCTTAGCTTGGCCACGTGAAGCTCACCAGGGTGTGTTGTATTGTACGTTGCGTTGGTGTGGGGCTTGAATGAAGAAGGGTCGGGAGTTTTCCCGCCCTCCGAACCACACTTCATGTGGCATAACAGTTGTTCTCTTCGACAACGGCACTTGGAAAACGTGAAAGGTGCAGGACTGTGGGACGAGTCACGTGGTGGTAGTCGATAGCAAAAGCTCGGACTGCTCCATTATGTCGGTGGATGTGAACGAGGGTTCTGTTAGGGCCGACACCGATGAGGAGGTTTGTCGAATATGTAGAACAGCTGGGACAGAGGAAGCCCCTCTGTATTTCCCTTGTGCGTGTAGTGGCAGCATAAAGTATGTTCATCAGGACTGCCTTCAAAGATGGCTATCACACAGTAATGCTCAGCGGTGCGAGGTGTGCAAACAAGAATTTGCTTTCTCTCCTGTATATGCGGAGGACGCTCCCTCGAAGCTCCCTTTCCAGGAAATCTTGTTGGGGCTTTGTGTGAAGGGATGGCGCAGTCTGCGCTTCCTTTTTCGTTTGTTTCTTGTTGTTTTCTCTTGGCTCGTTTTGGTTCCGTTCGTAACTTGCTCGCTTTGGCGGTTGTTCTTCCTGCGGTCACTTCGCGAAGCGCGGTTTCTCCTGCATAGCAGATTGGCCCCGGCCCTTCTTCTTACAGATTGTGTTTACGGGTGGTTTCTGTCGGCGGGGATTGTGTTCGTGTTCCTTGGGTTCACCTCGCTACGGGACTATCATCGACAGATCCGGCATCAGCAAGGGAGGGCTGAAGCGGGTTTGGATGCGGAGGATGAGCAGGATGTGCAGTTCGGAGTGGAGATCGGGGTCGCAGAGAGGCAGCAGCCACTGGTGCTGCCTCGTAGGGGGCTTGGAAGGTTGGGCTGGGCAGCTGATCAAGGAGGCGGAAATGTCGGTGGGATTCAGGATGGCCTGGAGAGGGGCTGGGAGGGCGATGACCAAGCAGCTGGCAGGGGTGGGCACGAAGGGCTGGGTGCAGGTGAGGGCAGAGTTGCTTTGGAGGAGGGAGCGGCTGGAGAGGGCACCGCAGCGGACAACGCCACACCCATGGTAGAAGTCGTGGATGCAGAAGATGCCGAGGGCGAGGAGCAGCAAGTCGCTGGAGGAGAAGCCAGGGAGGGGCGTGTAAGGGAAGCTGGTGTGATGGTTGATGGCGAGGACGGGCCGGACCTCGATGACATTCAACTGCAGGGTGCAGCGTTGGAAGCACGGATGGAGGCTCAGTTAGATCAGATGTTTGACGACAATGATGGAGTTGGCAATGATGAGGTGCCACTCGAGGAGCTTGTTGGATTGCAGGGCCCAGTTCTGCACTTGCTGGAGAATGCGGTCACAGTCATTGTCAGCAATGCATTGTTCCTGGCAATCGCTGTGTTAGTGCCTTTCACGATTGGAAGGGCTGTCATAGTGCTGGCGGGGCACTTTGCGTCGGGGGGCGCAGCCAGCAGCACTACTGCCGTCCCGCAGTTGAGGAGCTACGACTTCGTCCCGTTCATAGCAAACCAGACAGGAGTTCCCAATCCCAGCGATCTGCACTTTGAAGACCGGACTGCGGTGCTTCCATGGATGGAGGAGCGAACCGTCTTCCAACGGCATAGTGCCGACCGTGGTTTATCAAGGATTTTGTCCAACAAGAGCCTAAGTATTCAATGGACGAGATGGTGGGATGATGGCCAGCGTTGCCGCATTTTGAAGCTGGGACAGAGGTGTTCTGTGCGGGGCAATGCCGCTGGTCATTTGCTGCCGTGCGATCCGTGGAATAGTAGCGAGGGCGCCGATCAGTGCTACGTCAATCTGGAGAAGGGAGAGGGTCCGGGTGCTGCGGGGGCGGTTCGCGAAGCTGAGGTGGTGGTGATATCGTCTTGGATGTCAGAAAGGTTGACCCTTCTGATTGGGTACGCAGTATTATTGTCAACACTGGGTTTGTACTTGCTGCTAGTGCCCTTGATGAGGGGAAGACCGTCGAATCGCAACAGAAGAGAGGTGGGAGAAGGGGAGAATGGCACAGCGTGGATTATGGAGGCAGCACCTCTGTTCGGCAGGCAGATCGTTCTGTTCCTGAGGCATGGGGCAATGGTTCTCAAGGTGGCGTCGCTACTGTTTCTTGAGCTTGGCGTGTTTCCGCTGATGTGCGGGATCTGGCTGGATGTCTGCTCCTTGCGAATGCTGGATGCTTCGCTGAAGCAGCGAGCTGCCTTCCTTGCAGCAGCGCCGGTTGTTTTCACGATGCTCCACTGGTTGATCGGGATAGTCTACATGTTGCAGATTTCGATCTTTGTGAGCCTGCTAAGGGAGACGCTTCGGCCAGGTGTGCTGTCGTTTCTTCGGGACCCTGCAGACCCCAATTTCGATCCTGTGCGAGATCTAGTGAATGAGCCTTTGCATAAGCATCTGTGGCGGGTGTTCCTCTCGTTCATCGTCTACAGCAGCTTGATAGTGATGCTCGTCTATGTGCCCATCAGCCTAATAATACAGCTCTCCCCACGTCTCTTCCCCTTGAATCTCAAGTTTTCCGATCCTTTCATCGAGCTACCGGCAGACATGCTTCTCTTTCACATCTTTGTTCCGTTCACGATCGAGCACTTTCAGCCGCGGTTGGTTGTGAAGAAGCTGATGGCCCACTGGTTTCTGGTAGTAGGAGGGATGCTTGGCCTGGTAGAGTTTCTTCTGCCTCTTCCACAGGAGGCGGCGGGCGAAGGCCCTCAGTTTGTGAACGAGGAGGGTCCGCCACAAAATCTCGACCTGGGAGGTGCGCGGGAAGCTGCTGAGGTCTTGCCACCGGCAGGTGGGGAGCCGCACGAACCTGTACGCCTTCGACAAGAGCCGCTGGAGGAAGTGGAGGCCCACCATGAACTTGAGCCGGTTGGGGATGCGATCAAGCCTCCGGTACCTGATGTCGGCGGAATTCAAGAAATTGTGGAGGGAGGAAAAGAAGATAGAGCTTCGGACTGGGACGAGGATAGAGATGTGGAAGAACTGGAAGAGGAGGAGGAAGGCAGAGATGCAGAGGAGTACATGTTTGCCGTTCGGATCGTCGTACTCTTAGTCAGTGCTTGGCTTAGTTTGGTTGTAGTCAACTTAAACGTGGGAGTGCTTCCCATCACGATCGGGCGCTGGACCTTCGCCAGCTTGACAACGTGGCTTCCCGTCAGCAAAGGATTGCCGTGCAACGACCTTTACGCCTTCGGCATCGGTTGCTATCTGCTATGGGGCTTGTTCGTGGCCGTCCAATGCACAGTACGTTACGTCAAAGCGCACGGCGCTGGGACACTCCTGCCCCAGGCCCTGCGGTGGACGGGCACCGTGCTGAAGAGTGTTGGACTCCTCTCCCTATGGCTGGGACTCATTCCTCTCCTCATTGGCCTCCTCTTTGACTTGCTTGTCGTTGTGCCTCTCCATACTCCTCTGGACGAGCGACTGAAACTGCTCTATTACCAGGACTGGGCTGTGGGACTTCTTCTGCTGGAGATATGGATGCGGCTTGTGATGCTCGGGCAGGTCATGCCTTTCGGGATAGGCGATGACCGGTGGCGCAACAAGTTCGAGAGGATTCGAAATGATGGGTTCATGCGCCTTCACGGCATGTGGGTTTTGAAAGAGGTGATTGCGCCTATTGTAGGCTATTTGCTAACATTGCTATGCCTCCCATATGCGTGCGCGAAAGGGTTGATGGCTTTGATTTCGCCCTCCCCGCAAATGGCACTGCTTGTGCCGCGGTTCGCTTGTCTGGGGACTGTTGTGGCTGTTGTTCTCTGGCGGCTCCTGCAGAAGTCGAGAGCGTGGCTCATCGAGCTACATGATTCGATCCGCGATGACAGGTACCTGATTGGGCAACGATTGCACAACTATACCAGGGTTGTGGGCGGTTCAGCGGCCAGCAGGGAGCGAATGAAGCACAGTGTCAGTGCGTCGGGGGGTTCCCAGGGAGGGGTGTCGGGAGAAGGTTCGTCTGGAGAAAGTGCAGCAGATATTCTGGGAGGACAGAATGCTGAAGAGAGCAAAAGTGATTGCATGGCAGTCGGAAATGGGGAAAGTAGAGGTGATCAGCAGATTTTGCAAGGTTCTTTTCCTCGCAACTCTCCTGTAACAGCAATGGGACTTGGGGACGATGTACGGTCTGGGGATCAAACGACGGAGGATAAACGTGGTTTCGGTGGTGCCGATGACGATGACAGCTCGCAGGCATCGGCGGTCACAAGTGTTCATATGCCTTCTGGAGGATCACTTCACTGTGTAACATCTGCTGCTGAAACCCGGCCCTCGTTGACCCACGGTACAACGACAACTCCAAACGGCGAAATGTGTGAGAGTAATGCGGAGTCTGGTGCTGAGGGTTGGGACGGATCGGCAGGCACAAGCATGGTGGCAGAGAAGGTGGATCCAGGTGTTAGCTCCAAAAGAGGGCAGGCAGACCAAAGCAGTGAGGTATGCGACGAGGAGAGTTATGGGGGGACCACAGAGGATGGCTATGGGAAGGGGGATGAATGGCGGATGTTGAATGCACACACACAGGCAGACCAAAGCAGTGAGGTATGCGACGAGGAGAGTTATGGGGGGACTACAGCTGTCTCTTATACACATCTAGATGTGTATAAGAGACAGCACACAGGCAGACCAAAGCAGTGAGGTATGCGACGAGGAGAGTTATGGGGGGACTACAGAGGATGGCTATGGGAAGGGGGATGAATGGCGGATGTTGAATGCACACACACAGGCAGACCAAAGCAGTGAGGTATGCGACGAGGAGAGTTATSGGGGGACTACAGAGGATGGCTATGGGAAGGGGGATGAATGGCGGATGTTGAATGCACACACACAAATGTCTAGCGGTTTGGTTGGCATTGAGGAGGTCGGTCAAAACGTTTTGTGCATGAAAGCTGCAGGTGTGGCAGGGCCTGATCACTAAGGTAATGAGCCGATGAGCAATGATGGATGTTATTTTTGGGAACCCGAAAATGGTCCATTTTGGGTACTGTTGAAGGGTCATTTTGGCCACCAATCGGTGAAGGTTGCAGGGTTGCAGGGTTGCAGGGTTGCAGGGTATCTCATCTACGCCGTATCACAACGGGAAGCGCAATGAGGGTATACTCACGCCATGGGACTTATCCGCTTCTTCGTGGACACAATTGTGGTCAGGTACATGCACGCTGGGTAGGGAAAGCGGTCATATACATCCGGGAAAGTTCTATTCTGAGTATGCCCTGATGGGAATGTGGTGTTGTATGTGCTATATAAGAGAAGATGGGCATTTCATGTGCGCTTCACGAAGTCGATCAACCGCCTTCACAGGGGTACTAACTTCACAGAGGGATCTCCAAACAACTCGGTGAATGTGGAGGATGTAGGACAGGGGGCGCATTCGGTGTGTGAAATGTGTGTCGGTTCTTGATTTTCGCCAACTGCTGTTTGCATGAGTAGATAGCAATCAAACTGGCTGATCATACAGTACTCCGGATTTTTGCTCCATTCTAGTGTCCGTGCTATTGTCCTTTTGAGGCACGGACATATTAAGCAAAATGCCTTTTGTCATGTGTCGGTGGATGGCCTGTGTCGTAAAGAAATGCTATCTTCGTGACCGAGGAGCAATCAAGATGGCTGATCTTCGTGAACGAGGAGCAATCAAGATGGCTGGACACGCCACGCAGAGTTGGATGTGCTCTTTGCTGTTGTCCTTGAGAGTGGAACGCACGCAACATCATAAACCGCCAGTACAGCCACGCATCGGGCGCGGGCGCCGTTCGAGGGCCGAAACACTATGCCGGCCACCGATATTTTTGTTCCGACGGCGTGCTGGCTCCGACTTTTTCGGAGCAGGTGACGAACAATTCTCCACAAGGCTGGGACCATGTACTAGCGTTTTAAGCGTCGCACGTTGGTTGAGGGTATGCTACCAAAATTTCAATAAGTTGGAAGTGTGTGGAGCCCCAGGGCAGGGTACCGATAACGATGGATGTCGGGCGGCGAGAACTTCGAGGATGGGGGCGACTACCTAGAGAGATTATGGGGTCTGTTCCAGCAGGTCTCTTGTTCTCTCCTCCCGCAGTACACCCTTTGGCAAGGGGTCACTTTCCGTGTGTCTCTCGTTTCACAGCACGACATGGAAAGGCGGATGCTCATCTTGTGATGATCGTGGTGTGACTCGGACTTGTGATCTGCGTGCTGCGACGTGAACCCCCATCTCCTTCATGAGAGGTGGACAGTAGGAGCATGGCCCAGAGCGATGCGAGTGTTATGAAGGGGATGTTTGCCTTGTGATGTATGTGCTGTGCATCCGACCCGGCCTCTCTGTCGCAAGTGATGGACGGCAGTGGCATTACTGAGGATGCTGATTGCTGTCATGGAGAGCGTTATTGAGAGCGACGAGAGCGGGACAAAGGGGATGGTTGGCTTGTGGTGTGCGGTGAAGCAGCCCCCACCACTCCCCTCCACAAGAGAAGCAGAGCAGGAGCATTTGTGAGAATGAGGAGAGCGGTCCGGAAAGCATTGCCAAGAGTAACGAGAGTGGCGTGGAGAGTGTTTCTGAGAAAGAGGAGAGCGGGCATGGAGAGCATAATAGAGAATGACAACAGCGCGGCATGAAGCGGATGCTCGTCCTGAGATGAGTGTGCTGTAGTGCAAACCACCGTCTGCTTCTCAAGATCTGCAAAGCAAGAGGAATACCGAGAGAGGTGAGACTGATGTAATCAAGGTGCTTGTCTTGTGGTGTGTACTGCGGCGGGACATGACACAAATCTTGCTCTCCCCTTCGCAAGAGCTGGACAGCAGGAGGATTAGGGAGAGTCTGTTGCCAGCAGCAGGGCAGGGTGACCGCTCCAGGGCGCCGAAGGAGAAATGGACAAAGACCGATGAAGAATTCTTGGTGTTGAGGCTTCTCCGTGGAAGAGCATCGTCCGTTTGATTGCAAGTGGAACCCCGCCCAGTCGTGTTATATCGCATGATGGAAGATGGTGAGCAGGGAGGATGTTGCCTGAGTGTTCCCAGCGGCACGATGTGGCTTCATTGTTTGGGCATCCGGCAATTTAACAATCAAAGTGGCAAGTGGGTAGAACGGGAAGACCATATATGTCAGACTCTGGGTGGAGGGCTGCATTGTAGTCGTTGATCACTTCGGCTGACAATACGCATGTGGTTGTGCATGGCGGGAGGAATGGCTGCTGTACGGAGGAGGCGATGGCAGACCTACCCCTCAGGCGAAAGCATGTGAATGGTGATTGCCTCATTGGAAGAGGATGAATCTTTCCTTAGTCTTTTGCATTCGTTTCCTTCATGTGTGTGTGTGTGTGTGTGTGTGTGTGTGTGTGTGCGTGCGTG